TTATCGTGCCACCTACCCTACAGGGGCCACCTACCCTACAGGGGCCACCTACCCTACAGGGGCCACCTACCCTACAGGGGCCAGAGGCCGACCATGATTTCTGAACGAGGCCCGAGTGGTCTAAAGCCTGCTTGTGTCCCTGAGGGCAATGTGTGGGTTGCTTTGTTTGTTTGTTTTGAGACAGGGGTTTTCTGTATAGCTCTGGCTGTCCTGGAATTCACTTTGTAGACTGGGCTGACCTCAAATTTAATTAGCTTTTTATAGGAGGTTTTCTGGTTTGTTTTCTTTTTGATTTATTTAGCATGTGTAGAGGTCAGAGGACAAATGTGGGAGTAGGTTCCTCTGCCGCTCTGGTTCCAAGTTCATGTGATCTGCACTCCAGGCTGCTTTGCTGGCCCCGTTTCCACTGTTTGTTTGTTTATTTGTTTTGTTTTTTGAGACAGGGTTTCTCTGTGTCTTTGGAACCTGTTCTGGAACTCGCTCTTGTAGACCAGGCTGGTCTCGAACTCACAGAGATCCACCTGCCTCTGCCTCCTGAGAGCTGGGATTAAAGGAGTACGCCACCACCGCCGGCTTTCAATTGTTTGATTTTTATAATCAACAAAAACACTTTTTTCTACAGTGGTAGATGCTCAGGAGGCTGAGGCAGGAGGTCCTATGAGCCCAGGGATAATGAAGTGAGACTCAGCCTCAGAAACATGAGAATAGAGCTGAGGACGTGCAGCACAATGGCAGAGGGTCAGCCGGGGGTCAACGTGAGAGCCTAGTGGCGTAGCTTGGTGGCACAGCACTGGGCCCAGGGTTCCAGCCCCAGAGGTACAGGGGGGAAATACCTTTCGTTTGGGCATGAAAGAACCACGTTAGGGGCCAGAGAGATGGCTCGGCTGTTAAGAGCACTGGCTGCTCTTCCAGAGGTCCTGAGTTCAATTCCCAGCAACCACACGATGGCTCACAACCATCTGTAATGAGATCTGGTGCCCTCTTCTGGCCTGCAGGCAGAACATAGTATATACAATAAATAAGTACAGAAACAAGCCAAAAAGAGAGAGAGAGAGTCATGTTAGCATTCGGTACTTCCCTCCACTCTTTGTGGGCAGGATCTGAGGTAGGATCTCACACAATTGCACAGCAACACTCATTGGAGGGTACATCTTGGCACCCGTGTAACCACATTCTGAAGCCATCCCTTTCACGAACCTCCTTTTTTATTTATTTATTTATTTATTTATGTTTTACGAGACAGGGTTTCTCTGTATTGTTCTGGAGGCTGTTGGTCCAGCCCGGCCTCGAACTCACAGTTATCCGCCTGCCTCTGCCTCCCGAGTGCTGGGATTAAAGGCGTGCGCCACCACCGCCCTCCACGAACTTCGTATGCCACACCAATTTTGAGGCTGTGGTCACAAAGGGGTGAGGTTGTCTAAGCGTTTCCGGGTGTGTCCCCTCAGGGATCCAAGGTGGGCAAACTGACCCTCAAGACTACGGAGATGGAGACCATCTATGACCTGGGCACCAAGATGATCGAGTCTCTGACCAAGGACAAGGTCCAGGCCGGGTGAGCCGCTGGGGCCTGAAGGTGGCTGGGGTAGTGAGAGTCCTCTCGCTCTTTTTTGTTTTGTTTTCCAAGACAGGGTCTCTCTGTGTAACAGTCCTGGCTGTCCTAGAACTTGCTTGTAGACCAAGCTGGCCTCGAACTCGCGGAGATCCGCCTGCCTCCTCCTCCTCCTCCTGCGTGCTGGGACTAAGGGTGTGGGCCACCTCTGTCCAGCCTCTCAGTCTTTGCTGTTGCTCCCTCAGGGATGTGATCACTATTGACAAGGCCACTGGCAAGATTTCCAAACTGGGCCGCTCCTTCACACGCGCTCGAGACTACGATGCCATGGGCTCCCAGGTACCCGCACGGGGTGTTCCCTGTCTTTTGCTACATCGTGGGTTTGGATGCGGTGTGGCCCGGTGCCTGTGCCCTGGCTGCCCTCACACCTGCCCTCGCCCTGTAGACCAAGTTTGTGCAGTGCCCAGACGGGGAGCTGCAGAAACGCAAGGAGGTGGTGCACACCGTGTCGCTCCATGAGATTGATGTCATCAACTCCCGTACTCAGGGCTTCCTGGCCCTCTTCTCAGGTCAGCTGCCCTCGAGGCCAGCCCCTCCTCCCTTGGCACAGCCCGCCCCCCCGGCTTCTCTGCCCCTCTCCTGGCACTTCCGTCGTCCTCCCCAGCCCTGCTGCCTGCCTCCCGGTCTCCACTGCGGTTTGTCCTTCCCGCTTTGCCCTGGCATCGTCTGGCCCTACTCTGTGGCATCTGTCTGTCTCTGTCTTTGCCTGGCCCTGGCCCTGGCCCCAGCCTCCAGCTGCACTGATGCCCCCGTCTCTGACAGGAGACACAGGGGAGATCAAGTCAGAAGTCCGGGAACAGATCAATGCTAAGGTGGCCGAGTGGAGGGAGGAGGGCAAGGCGGAGATCATCCCTGGGGTGAGTGAGCAGAGCCCGGGGGGCGGGGCGGGGGGGGTGAAGGTGAGCCTGACCTGCGCCCCAATGGCTTCCAGGTGCTGTTCATCGATGAGGTCCACATGCTGGATATCGAGAGCTTCTCGTTCCTCAACCGGGCCCTGGAGAGTGACATGGCCCCAGTCCTCATCATGGCCACCAACCGAGGCATCACCCGGTGAGCAGCCTCAGGTGTCTGGGTGAAGGACACTCTGGCAGCTTGAGCATAAGTGGACCGTCTGCTGAGTGCTGTGCTTGGTTAACCTAGCGTGTCCTTCCTGAGTTTGCCTGTATGTTGCCCTCACAGATGCCCAGGAAATCACCTGTGCTGAGCACAGGGGCATCTGTTAGACGGGTCACGAACTGCTGGGATTAGGCGAGTCACTCAGCCCCAGTAGTGTTGACCTAAAGATACTGTGGAGTACTGGGCATGGTGGCACCCACTCCACCAGTAGTCCTAGGACTCTGTAGGCTGAGACAGGAGGATTTTGAGTGCTATACTAGCCTGGGCTACATGAGACCCTTTTCTTTTCTAACAAAAACAAAAAACAGGTCTGAAGCAATGGTTCCCAGGTTAAGAGTATGTACTGTTCTTGCAGAGGGCCTGAGTTTGGGGACCCAGGAGGGACAGGGCTCAGGGTGCCAGGCTCCCTCTGGTGGTGGGTCCTGAGCTTCATCAAGCATATTCGCCAGTCTTAGTTTTCCATGGCATCCCCCTCTTGTAGAGTGATGTGTATATGTAGGCAGGGGGTAATGGGCGATTGTGAATTCAGGTGTGTGCAGAACCCAGAACAGCGCGTCAGGTCCCTGCAGGTGGACTTTCAAGCACGTAAGAGCTGCCCATTGTGGGTGCTGGGAGCCTAGCTGGGCCCTGTGTAAGAACAGTGTGTTCCTGAGTATCTGTGCAGCCCTGTTTCCTTTCCCACTGAGCGTGTGTGTGTTTACGTGTACGCACAGGTGCCGCGGAGTGCGTCCTGTCCCCTGGAACTGCAGTTAGATACGGTTGTGAGGAAGGCAGAGGGCAGACAGCACTGACCGGCTGTGGCCTGTCAACCTGGCTGTCTCTGCTCTTCACCCCATGTCCTGACTCCCGCTTCGGCTAGCAAAACTCATCAACTTGCCCAGGCCATAGGTTTAAGGTGGCAGGGTGGGAGGAGAGGCATCTTTAGGCCAGCGCACACAGGGGAGCCAATCCTGAGGCCTCTCTCTGAGGGAGGGGCTGTTCCCAAGCCCTTCGTCATCTGAGGTTCACCTGCAATCCCCAGTCACTGCGCCAGCCTTCTCTCCGGTCCTGGAAAGTGCATGAGTGCTAGTCTGGACTCTGGCGACTGTCCTGAGCCACCTCCAGGAGAACATCATCATATTTGTGGCTAAACTGCCTATGACTGGGTCCCAATGCCCACAAGAATTGCCTGAGCAGCAGGGTACAGGAGGGCCAGTAGCCCCGCTGGGGAGGGCTGTGCTTACAGGTGGTAACAGCCTGTGCTCACAAGTGGGCTGGTGGCCCGCATGGTCTCCCGGAGCATTGGTTAACAGTCCTCCCCGACCCCCAGGATCCGAGGCACCAGCTACCAAAGTCCCCACGGCATCCCCATCGACCTTCTAGACCGCCTGCTCATTGTGTCCACCTCCCCCTACAGTGAGAAGGACACCAAGCAGATTCTACGCATCCGGTGAGGCTACCCCAGCCCCTTTAGAGGGGCCACAGATTGGATGGGAGGGATTCACCCAGGCCTCTGCCTCTGAGAAGACTAGTTTGGCACACTCCCAGTGTGGGGAGCTCCGGGGCGGGGGTGTGGCTCTGAGACGTGTGGCCCGTCTTTGGGGATGGTGGGGTGATGTGCATTCTGCCCACAGCTGTGAGGAGGAAGACGTGGAGATGAGTGAGGACGCCTACACAGTGCTGACCCGCATCGGGCTGGAGACCTCCCTGCGCTACGCCATCCAGCTCATCACAGCAGCCAGCCTGGTGTGCCGGAAACGAAAGGTAGGCTGGCGAGCTAGCCTGGAGGACGGCGGGCATGGCCCTGGGTGCCCTATCGACCATGGCACATGGGCATTTGGTGGGGACTGAGAACCACAGCAGTCTTAGAGGAAGAAGCTGGGGGGGGGGACAGGGGACACCCATGACCCTAAGCTGACATGAGCTAAGTCCCACTTGTCCCCAGGGCACAGAGGTGCAGGTAGACGACATCAAACGTGTATACTCCCTCTTCCTGGACGAATCCCGCTCCACACAGTACATGAAGGAATACCAGGATGCCTTCCTCTTCAATGAGCTCAGTGAGTCCCCACCCAGGCTGCTGCCACTGTGGGGAGGGCTACATGGGGACCCTGGACCTCACTCGCGTCTGGCTTCCTCTCCACAGAAGGCGAGACAATGGACACCTCCTGAGCTGAGACCCCAACCCTTCCCGCCTTGTTTTCTACAAGTTCTGACACTGTGACTGTATAAAATGGTTGTAAACTAGAGCCCCGCTGTGTCCTCAGAGCCCACAGAAGGACCCCGGCCGGCTGGGTGCAGTTGTAAAGCCTTTATTGGAGGGACGGTTGGAACACCTGCCAGCTCCTTGAGATAGAGGCGTTAGGGGTGCGCCTCAGAGGAAGAGGAGGCCAGGGAGGCGGGGGAGGTCACAGGCCAATGGTTGAGCTCTGGGACCTCCGCAGTCAGAGCTACTGAGACGGCAGGGCCCGCAGCGGCAACTGAGGGCCACAGGGAAGGAGACCATGGGGTCCACCCCCGGCGGGCAGCCAGGGAGGCGGACAGATGCGAAGTGTAGCTCACGGTAGGTGCACACGGGCTGGGGCACAGGCGCCAGGGCAGCTGGCAGCACTCGTACCTGGAGCCAGGGAGCAAAGCAGTCATGAGTGCTCCTGTCCACCTCCAAACCCCCACAGGAGCCATGACCCCTGCCCGGGTGCCATCCCCTTTGACCCCACTGCCACCTCCTGCCTTGGGTCTAGCTGAGGTGACAGAGCTTTGTGTCCAAAGTGGGGTCCCCAGGCCATTTGGTGAGCTCACCATGCTAGGACAGTAGCCGGCACAGATGCTGGTGGTGAAGGTGATGCAGACCGGGCAGACGTCATTCTCTGCAGCCAGGGTTGCGTTGACAGGCCGGCACAGTGGCCGCAGCGGGCCCCTGGAGGCCCACACCACACCGTGGCCCAGTAGCAGCCATAGCAGCAGCCCCTGGGACATAGTTGTGCCTCAGTCTAACTGGGCTTTCCCTCCCAGACTCCGGACCAGGATATAGTATAAATCCTGGCCTTAGGGGCCCGTCACCTGCCCGCAAATTCCTTTCTGTGCTGCTTGAGTCCACCAGCCAGGACACCACCACCCCCACAGGTTACAGGGCTGCCCTTCTTTCTGTACCAGCTGGAGTCTGGTGGGATTGGGAGATGCCCTGGGCCCTACGCTCTTACCTGGAGCCTCCCCATTCTTGTTGCCTTCCTACCTTGGCCACCTGATTTTATACCTGCGGATTGTGGGGGTGGCAAGGCCACCAAGCAGCGGCTGTAGGCTTGGGTAACCTAGACACTAATCTCTTTGGGGGCGAGAGACAGACAAGGTCAGGGAAGCAAGGGACCAGCTCTAGTGTCACAGTAATTGGCCCCACATTCAGCCCAGGTGTCTGAGCATAGCCAACCTTGAAGAGCAGGAAGGATCCTTAGGTCCTTCACCCCATCATGGGAGTATCCTCACGCTCATTCCTCAGTGCAACCTTCTAGGAAGGAATAGCTTCAGCGTGAGGTTCCCTCCATGCCCAGTGAACCTACGAATTTATACCCAGACACTTCCAGCAACCGCCCCTCACCCAACTCCCTAATCAGGATGCGTGGGTCCAGAAATGGGTATGATTTCAGCTGTAAAACTCCTTGATCAGTAAGCTCCACCTGGAGGAGCATGGGGTACGCCCGGGTTGGCCCGCCCACAAATCCGATTCTGGAGTGTGTGTCTGCCTGGAGGGCGGGGCTCACACATGCTCACACCAGCTCTGCCCTGCCACTCCCATAGCGGGAGTTTTCAGTGCAGTAGGCCTTAGGCACGCTGTAGATGCCAGGCACTGGCTTTGAGTGGGGGCCTCCCCAGGGTGCGTCTATTGGGCAAAAGCGGTCCAGCCTGCGGAGCGGGTGCACCAAGGGCCCATAAGATTCTTGAGTCAGAGGCAGGGCACCCAGGTACGGCACGGCCGATGGCACTGGGCGTGCACGGGCTAGGCGCTCCTTCAGTTGACCGCCATGCAGCTTAAGGTGGCAGGGGGCTTGTGACTTCTTCAGCCACTTCCAGCAAATCACTGTTTCTTGGCCGAGGTATCCAGGCAACTCCTTCCTGTGGGTGGGGCAGAGGGTGAGTAGGACCAAGAGCAGTAGAGTTGGGGTTTCAGGGGCCTCTAGGACCTGGAAATGGGCCTTTGCTGCCCTAGAAGAGGCTCTGGATCCTGAGCTGAAGGTCTCAGCTTGGGTCAGTACTGTGGTTCCTGTATCTGCAGTTGGAACTGCTGAGGAGAGGGGCCGCTCCTACACCAGAACCTGCAGGCCATAGGCGCACCTCGAGAAGTCGCGCACGGTGGTGGTCAGATAGGGCTGGAGGCGGCCCAGGATGCCCATCTTGCTCACTGGAAAGGGCTGGCCAGCCAGCTCTGGGTTTCTCGTCCAGGGGATTAGGGCCTGAGAAGTATTGGGAAAAGAAGTGGACAAGAGATTGGGCGTACACCATCTACAAAACTCTCCCGCTAGTCCCAGGCTTTGTGCCTCAAATCAGGGTCCTGGGGTGTCTCTGCACCCATCCAAATACTTGCTGGCCAAGAGTCCAAACTCAAGCTGCAGCCACACCACCTTTCCAATTCCCCTCCTAGCCTAAACGGTTACCCTGACACTGGACAGCAATGCCACCTAACTGCGTCTGCTAACCTGACCCTGTCTCAGAATATTCTCCAACTCTGAGGAGCAAAACTTAGTTCATTGCACCAGCACCCCACAGCCTCGAAGCAACATCAAGCTGTATCCTCCAGACCCTAAGCTTCAGTATCCTGACCCTAAGCAATACCTTTCAGCTTCACCCTCGAGTGCAAGCTTCCTCTGGGCAACCCAGGCTCCTTCCCGCAGTGCCCAATCCCTCTCTACCTGGGAAGGGCCTCCGCGGTGGTGGTCGGTGAGCTCCAGGGGTTGGGGCTCCTCAAAGAGAGGGGCACTCTGGTCCTGACTTGGCAAGTCCCTGTACTGTTCCTTCATCTCGCTGATCTGGTATTTTGTGACATCCCAGCCCTTGTGTCTTCTTAGCTACAAGCAGGAAGACTCAAGATGAGTAAGCAGGGGCTCCATTGTCCAGCTCTCCATCCCCCGGGCTGCAGGATCCCAGAGGCCTACCTTCTCTGCCAAAGATTTGATCCCTAGTGTCCGCCCAGGGTCCTGGTGCTCTGCTGCCCTGGGCTGAGCACAGGGCCCACCGTGTGTCTTGGGCACGTTTGCGGAGCCTGAGGTGGTTTCCCATCTGTTGATGACTTCGTCAAAAGAACATACGCGTGGGACGTGCTTCCCGGCTGCGGGCAGAGTTGCCCCGACCGTAGACTGGGGAGAAGGCGTGTAGTTCAGCCAAAAGACCCAAGGAGCCTTCCTCTTCCCCCAGCTCCTGGCACGCAGGCTCCCATGCCCCGCCTCCTTCAAGACAAGCGCCTAACCCTAGTCCCTTACTCCCAGCACACAGGTTTGTGGACTGCCCCCTTTCCTGCCTCGAACTCTGCCCTGACTCCTCTCACCTGTAGAGTAGGCGGAGGAAAGTGCGCCGTTGGGATCCTGTGGTGGGCGACCCCGCTGCTGGTTAAATGCCAGCTGGGCCAGGTTCCAGGAACCTCAGTTTCAGAAATGGGGGACCAAGGGGGCCCATATCGCAGAGCTAGGGTTCGACCTGCCATGGTTCTCACTCAGAAGCCAAGAAGCGCGGCTTGTGGTGTGGCCGTTGCCCCTCGTAACAGACCCGCCCACCCCGAGCCCAGCCAATGGTGTGGGGAGGGTTCGGGAACCCAGACTAGGGCTTTGAGAGAGGAGGATGGAGGAGACCCTAGGAAAGGCCCGCACAGAAACAGATACGCGGAGAGGGGTGGGGACTCCAAGAGAGGAGGGGGAAAGAAAAGGAGGGCAGGGGAGGGGACACAGCAGACTGCGGAGACAGACTGACTCGGGGAGGGGAGCCAAACGCCCTTTCCTGCGGGGCCCCTGGCCCTTGGGCTGCCTCCTCGTCTGCCAGGCCTGCCCAGCGCAGGGTAACAGTTTCCAGACAGCTCTTTTCCATGAAAGATGAAGGGCGAGCGTCCCCAGTCCTGCCTGCCTTTCATTTGGCTGAAAACTTCCACCTGGGTATGGGGGCTGGGGGGACGGACGGAAACACTTAGAAAGGAAAGGGGGCTCCTCACGCACAGAAAAGAGACAGGAAGTCAGAGAGACTGAGGGGGGGGGGTTAGAGGGTGGGAATAGGGCCACCCTCGGAGGGAGCATCAGGGGAAGATTCTGCCCAGCCAGTGGTCCAGGCTCACTCAGGGTGGGAGAAGCTGGCCTCCAAAGACTGTTTATACACCTCCCGTGGTGGCATAGGCCTGTTGCTCCAACACAAAGGTGGTTGAGTCCAGCCTGATCTACTTTAGAGAGACTCTGTGTCACAGGTGTGGTTGCACACACCTGTGACCCGGGCACTCAGGATGAAGGTGGGGCTGAAGAGATGGATCAAGTTAAGAGCGCTGGTCGCTCTTGCAGAGGATCCAGGTTCAGTTCCCAGCACCCACGTGGTGCCCCACAACCATCTCTGACTCCAGGTCCAGGGGATGCAATATTCTGTCCTGGCCACTGCAGACACCGCCATGATGCACATCATACATGAAGGCAAATCACTCAATACACACAAAGTTAAAGAAATCTTTTTAAAAATTAAGGTCATATCAGCAACATGTTCCAGTTCTAGGCCAGCCTGTGCTTCATGAGAACCTGCCCCAAAACATAAAAAAAAAGGTTGGGGGGGGGGGTCCTGTTGATAGCATGCTTGCCAAAGTACTGGGTTCCAACCCTAGAACCACATAATTATAATGCCAGCACTTGAGAGGTGGGAGCAGAAGACAGATTTCAATGCTTAAGTGAGTTCAAGGCCAGCCTGAGCTTCACAAGACTCAGAAATCAAAGCCGAACAAAAGCAGACGAGGTCTGCTGTGGATTTTGGTGCCCAAGCCTGCGTGCACACTGGATGCTTGCCACTCAAAGCAGAGTGCTGTGGCCAAGCCAGCGCCTGCCCACCTTGGCCAGGTCAGGCTCCCCATCTAAGCCCAGGCTCCCAGGTGCTCCGAGGCCTTTCTTCACTCACCACACCGTCAAGGTTCTGGGTGCGGCTGCTTCCACCGTTTTCCATCTGAGCCCCCACCCCTGTGTCCCTGCAAGTTTGTCTGTATAGCCCAGGCTGCCCTGGGACGAGAGGCAATCCCCTGTCTGCAGCCCCGCAAGCATTAGGATCTCAACAAAGCCCCACTATAGTTTCTCAGTAGACAAGGCTGGCCTCGAACTCCTGATCGGCCTGCTTTTACCGCCCAAGTGCTGGCACTGCAGATGATGTCCACCACTGCATATGATTTATTATGTAGCACCCAGGACAGAGCCCAGAACGTGGTGCATGCTGGGCAAACAGACTGTCACCTACTGAGGCACAGCCTGCTCACTCGTCACTTTTCATACATCCTTTCCTTGTCTCTATTGCTAGGATGAGCCAGGGTCCTCCGAAGTTGGAATGGTAATCAGCAGAGTCATGTATTAGTTCTAACAGACAGTAGATAGTGACTATTATTATTACTGTAAGTTCCTCCAGAACTCTATTCATTCCTTGAAACCCAGTTTGGTTTCATCAAATATTCCACAAAGACTGAGCTCTCAGAATGAGAGGGTTTTTTGTTTTGTTTTTTGCGTGTGTGTGTTTTTTCCAGTTCTCAATCAAAAGGCACAGTGAAGCTGCCAGGTCGCCTCGGAGGAGGTCCTTTAGCATCCAGCTCTTTTCTTTCCTCACCCTGAGCCGTTCACAAGCTGGCGGCCGTCAGGCCCGGCCTGTTCGGCTGAGGAGCGTGCAGACGCAAGCTGTGTCGATCCGAATCCAGCGCCAGCCCACTCGGCCCTGGGAGTCTGCAGTCAACGCCCGCACGTACGACTGCTTGGCCTTGCATTCAGAGAGCCAGTGCCTCCGGTCCACCCCGCGGCAACCCCCTCCGCCAACGCCCGGGCCACCTTCCCCGGCGCTTTCGGCCTTGCAGCGCGTCTCGAAGAAGTACTGACGCAGGGGGCTGCCGCCCGCTGCAGGCACCTCGCCGAGCACCTCCACCTCTCGCCCACGCAAGTCCACAGCCGTCCGCCGGTCGGTCACCCAGCCGCTCACCGCGTCGCACACGGCCAGCTCACCCCGGCGGCTGGCGGGCGCAGTCTCACTCGCAGCACGCCGGCTGCGGTTGGCTGGGGTCCCTGCCGGCTCCCCATAGGCTCCGGCCTCCAGCAGGAAGAGGAGAGGGGGGCCAGCAGGGGCGCCCCTCGACAGGGCCACACGGGGAGACAGGAGGTCCCACTCAGGGGCCAGAAATGGGGGCAGGGTGGAGGATGGGGATTGGGACTCCATGGGGACGCGGGGGAGGAGGAGGAGGAAAAGGACGAGAGACCGGGAGCAGCGAGGGAGCATGGCTTGCACACCTGAAGATGGAGAAAGGCTGTCGTTAAGAAGGAAGACACCTGCGGAATACAAGTCACCGCCCCCCACCCCAGCGGCTCTCTGCATGGCCGACTGTGGAGGACCCTAGGGGCACCTGTAGTCTAGAACCTGGGGAATGCTCAACTTTCAGATTAATGACAACTACTCAGTTAGTGTGAACCAATAGCCAAAGCTGGGTGTGGTCATGTACACCTGTAACCTCAGCGCCCGGGAGGCAGAGGCAGGAAGGGGGCCACACGCTTGAGGTCAGGCCTGTTTACACAGGGAGTTCATGCCAGCCAAACCGGGTCATACAGCTAGCAATGTGGATTCTGAGCGACACCATTTGGCCCTCATGCCCTATATACAACCCGGAGGAACCCGAGTCCACTCCGCGGCCTTGATTTCCCCCCGAGTGTGAGACTGACCCAGGGGCTGGGAGATGCTGGGAGAGAGACTAGAACATTCTAGAAGCCGGGCCAGGACTGGAAAGCAGCAGGTGAATGACTACCAGACCTGTCAGCAGCACCTCCGCCTCCTCACTCTGGGGCTGGGGGCCCCCAGGCTCTGTGGGGCCCCTGTGTAGGATACAGGCAGTCTCCTCCCTGACATCTCAGGAGAGGGAGGGGGCAGCCACCTGTGGGAGGGAGGAAACCGGTTACCAAGGCAGATGGAGGAGGGGCACGCCCCCCCCCCGTGCCACCTTCCCAGTGTCTGTGAAAACCTAGGGTACCCTGGAGGAGAGGCCCCTTCCCGGGGCAGGTGACAGCTCCGCAGGCATGGGAGGCAGATGGGGGCGGAAAGGAGGGGCGGGTGAGGCCGCTGGAAGAGACTGCATCCCCTCCTCCCTTTCCTCCGCCGGACGCGGCGGGGGCGGGGCCGGCCCGGACACCCGGGTCCCCGCCGGCCCACGCTCAGGGCTCTGGGTCCCTGAGGCTGCTTCCTGGAATGTTGGCTCCTCGCAGGACAGGACAGGCCAGGGCCCGCCCAAGACTCCGACTGTGCATACCTGGAGTGTCTGGCTGGCCAGGCTCCGAGGTGGGGGAACGGCAAGTGTGGGGTGTGAACAGGGCAGAGGTTGGCCACGCCAGCACAGGGAGTGCGGGCACCCGCTGCCGCCCCCCTCGGACTGGGCGTCCAGGTCCACAGCCGCCTCCGTCCTCAAACCGAGGTCCAAGGCCCCAGGACCGTCCTCCCTCGCCCAGCGAGGGTGTCTTGGTTCCCCCAGAAGCCTCCTCCTGCAGACTAGGCTTCCTGGACCCCAGCCGCCGCCTCCCTCAGACCCACAGGTCCTGAGATTGCGGCCCCTCCTCCAAGGTGCTTATGAATGGGGACTCCCTGCTTCTCCACCTAGGAAGACTGGATCGGGATCCCTATTCCTGAGTCGGTTGGAGGGCATCTGCTCCACCGTTTGGACACTTCCGTCCTGCCTCAGTTTCCTCCGCCAAGCCCCGCCCCCGTCGGCCCCGCCCCCGTCCCTCCCTACCCGGGGGCTGGGCGACCTGGACGGCGGAATCTGCCAGAGGAGGCGCGGAGCTCTTACCTGGGGCGCCCTTCTCTGCTCCCCGGCTGTCCTTGGCGCGGCCGCGGCTCCTCCTCCGGCTCGCTGGCAGCTCGGACGCCCGCTGCTCGCCGGCTACTCGCCGTTTGAGCTTGGGAGGGCCTGGGTCTAGGAGGAGGCGGGGCGGCGCCCGACGGCGGAGGAGGGGCGGGGGATCCCGCCTAGCACGCGAGTGCCGGCACCTCGGAAGCCTGGCCTCGGGACTTCAGTACCAGGAGTCTGGGCTATAGCCCTCCTCCATCAGACACTGGAGTCCAGACCCCGCCCCTCCTCCTCTAGACCCAAGGTGCAGGGCCAGTGCTCAGAACCCCAGCCCTGCTCCCTCAGACCCAGGAGTGCAGACCCCAGCCTCCTCCTTCAGACACTGGGACCCAGGCCCCAGCCTCTCCCCTCAGTCCCCGGTTCAGGCCTGGGATTGCTATGGTGTCTAGTGCGGGTTCCCACCCTCTGCTCCTGTCTCCCCTCTTGGATCTCCCTGCCAGACATTAGCCAGCTGGGTCTATGCAGCGATAAGACCCAATGCCTAGAGACAGTGACTGTGGGGGCTCCCCCACATAGTCTTCTACCCTGGAATTTCCTGGCAGGGGACCAGGGAGTCTTAGGGCAGACAAGAAAACTTCAAGGTAATTAGAGAGAGGAGAGCATAGATGGTGGGCTTTAAGAACTGTGGCCTGCCTAGCGAAACTGGAAACAGTCAACTGTGACCCCCCAAGGAAGAGAAGAGGGGACAAGAACCCAGTCAGAGAAGCTGAGCCCCAGAGGGAGGAAACAGTCCAAGAGGACCTCGGAAAGGCAGGCAGGAGAGAGCTCCAGCAGGGCCAGCATCAGTAAGCTGGACAGTCCCTTGGGTGGCAGGGCCCTTTGCTCTCCCATGCCCCTCTCTAGGACTCTGGCTCCCCTGGGCGGAGCTATATTTAGGAGGAAAGCTGACACTTGCCTTGGGGGGGGTCACCCAGCACCCACCTTCCCAACCTAAATATAGCATGGCAAAGTGGCAGGAAGGGTGTCCCCAGAGTAGGGTTTTCCCCTTAAGATGCCATCCCAGCCAGGGTGACTCAGAGCCCACTCCAGTTGTTTGTTGGAGGTGGGAAGGGACACTTCCTAGCCTGGGTGTCCATCTGGGTCACCCTTCTGACCTCACAGTCTTTCCCGACGCAGCCCATCCCTACCAAGGGACTCGAACTCCAGGCTGGGAGTCAAGGGAGACGTCTGCGAAAAGAAGAGGGAAGTTCTGCTGTTCTTGGTCTCCTCCCCTCCCCCTCCCCCCCCGCCCCCGGGCGGGGGGGGGAGGGGGGCGGCGGGGCGTGTCTCCTTGCTCTCTGAGGCCTGTGTCTCTTCTACTGGCCTCTGTCTCCTCTCCAGGCCAAGCGTCCTCTGCACCCATCACCTCTTCCATGCATTCAGGCTGTGTCCCACATCTCCGTCTTTGGTCCCTGGGTGCAGGTCAGTCTCCATTTCTATGACTGAATGTGAGTCTGTGTTAAAGTGAAGCGACCACCCTAAGACTCTGTCACGTGTTGTCACCATTGCGCCCTCTCCACTCCTCCTTTCTCTTGTATGGCAAGATGGCTGCTGATGAAGAGGGTTCCTCTCGCATCCTCCCCTGATGTCTGATGCCTCACAGGAGGCAAGTCCTCCCAGCAGCCCCCCTGAGATGCTTCACCCTCTAGTCTTAAGCAACAGTTCATATGACTGAAGCAGGTGACATCGTTATCAAAAATAACTCAGCACTCGGCACCAGTGAACAGGTTTTAATAAGTTAATGCCAGTCAAATTCCTTGAACTCTGTAATCGCTCCTCTTCCCTAAAATGTCTCTCAGTCCCAGAAGACTCCAAAAGTATTTGTCTCAGTAGCCTAGGGTATTACTGTTCCCTCTAATATCAGCTTCCCCCTATGAGATGCATGGCCTTGCCAGGCATGGTGGCACACACCTTTAATCCCCAGCACTTGGGCGGCAGAGGCAGGAGGGTCTGTGAGTTCAAAGCTGTCCTGGTCTACATACTGAGTTCCAGGACAGCCGGAGTTACACAGAAGGACCAATCCTGTCTCAAAAGACAAAACAGAACGAGAAGACACAGGACCAGTGGCCTCCAGCAATACCTGCACACCAGAAGTTGTGGGGGTGTCACAAGCAGGCCACCTGCTACCAGTCCTGGTGGCCCTGTGACGTGCTGGGTGACCTTGGGGGACACCACAACATTTTACAGCCTTGGGTTTCTGTCCTAGGAAACATAGAGCACCTCCAGGAGTATGGTGACCTTCCTTGGCTGTGAGGGGTGCTGACGCCATGGCTTAGAGTCTGATGACTCAGAGAACAGAAAGGGTGACCCCTGGGCTCAAGGCTACCATGGTTCCTGCTCTCCCTCTCCTCTCTCTCCAGTACATGTCTCCCTCATCCTGCCTGTCTGACATCCACCCCTCTGTGCCCTTCCTCATTCTTGCTTTCCTCTCTCTGGATCTCTCTCTCCCTTCTCCCTCCCTCTCCCCCTTTCTCTCTCCTCTCTAGATCTTTGTCCCCCTGTAATGTCCAAGTGTTTTCCTTCCCTTGTGGCTCCAGTGTTGGGATCCCCACTACAGCTCAGGGCAGCATAGACCTGGATCCCACATGACCAAGGTGAGCTGGCTGAGAGCCCCACAGAGCCTCTCCACATGGAAGGGGCAGGGGAGCCAGGGAGGCAGAAACTACCGGCCCTACCGTGCACATCCCTGAGAAAGCTTATTCAGTGGGCCACCCACACCCACGTGCCCAGGCTTGCTCCCTTACACTTAGTTTTATCTGTGCTGTGACCCTTAACATGGTCCTATGGCCCTATGGCCCTCACATACACTCCCACGGGACTCAGAGTGACATGAGTCAGCATGGTCCCACGAGACCTAAGAAGTCACGGACTCAACTGTATGGCTATTATGAGACTCACACTGTCACACGTCTCCGTACTCCTCAGCTCTGCATGGCTCTAAACAGGTTCCAGCCCTATAATGCTATACAACACAGAGAATTGCCGTTTGCGGCTCTCTGTCCCTTACGCTCTGGGTCTCTGCCTCCTCCTGTCTCTCATCCCCTAACCCAGGTTTCCCCACCAGGCCCCAGCGCGATCGTGTTCTGTCTGCAAGGTTCCAGAGCTCACAGAACCCGTAACAGCTTGCGTCCTAGAAGAAGCACAAATCCACACGCTCCTCTATGCATCTCCACACAACTTCTGTATGTGCCTATGCAGCCACAAGACCACTCTTAACAGTGGAGCCAGCTTGGCCCTAGGGGGCTCGAAGCCACACAGCTGCTCATCATACACTCGAATGAGACCCCACGCAGACCCCGGAAACCCACAGCTTATGACAGGCCTCTTTCAGCGCTACCCACAGGGGCCCCTGGAGGTTTGCACAACTGATGGGAAACCCCTGGACTCAACCCAAATCCCGGTCATCCATGTCTACTCAAGGCCCCCCCCCCAGGAGCCGCCACGTGACATCAATCCGCATCCAGTGTGTGTTCCTTAGCCTGGCACCTGCCCTGCAGTCCCTCTCCCCTCCCAGACCCCAGCTTCCTGAAGACCCCAGCTGGCCCTCACACCTCGGTCACCATGTGTTTCCCAGCAGGGGGCCAGGGTGGCGGCAGGAGTTCAGGCACCTCAGCGTCCACCAGACCCCCATTAGCCTTGCCCTCCAGCGAGACGCAGGGCTGCGTGTCCACGTGGCTGTACATCCCTGCCTCTTCACCCTCCGTCTCCCGATGGTAAAAGTAGCTGAAGTTGGAGACAATGACGGGCACAGGGAGAGAAATGGTGAGGACACCCGCGATGGCACACAGAGAGCCCACGATCTTGCCACCCACGGTCACGGGTGCCATGTCTCCATAGCCAACTGTGGTCATGGTGACCACTGCCCACCAGAAGGACTCGGGGATGCTGGTGAAATGGGTGTCTGCCCGGTCCACTTCAGCAAAGTAGACTGCACTGGAAAAGAGGACCACCCCGATGAAGAGGAAGAAGATGAGGAGGCCTAGCTCACGCATGGAGGCCCGCAGCGTCTGGCCCAAGATCTGTAGGCCCTTCGAATGCCTGGAGAGCTTGAAGATACGGAAAACTCGCACCAATCGGATGACCCTTAGGATGGCCAGGGACATAGCTGGCTGGCCCACACCTCGCTGCCGGGCTAGCTCGGTGCCCAGTGCCACAAAGTAAGGCAGGATGGCCACGAAGTCGATAAGGTTCATCACATTCTTGAAAAATATGGCTTTGCTTGGGCAGGCCAGCAGGCGTACCAGCAGCTCGAAGGAGAACCAGCAGATACACAGGGTCTCCACCACAAAAAACGGGTCACTGAAGGGCAGACGGGAAGGAGTGCCTGGCATGGGGCTGGAGCCATTCAGCCGAGCGAGGAACTGCAGAGGGGACAGAACGGGGTTAGGGAAACAGGCCAACACCCTTAGTCACTGTCAACATCAAGGTACCAGTTCCCAAGGTTCCCCAGGGATGCGACTGTCCTATATAACCCAGGACCCTAGGGGCTGTCTTTGGATAGCCAACTTTCTGCTCTTCAGACCTGCGGACAAAACGGTAGTGTCTCCTGGGCCTGGTGGTAACAAGCCTGTCATCCCATACTCAGCAGACTGATGCAGGAGAAGTACATTCAAGGCAGATCTAGTGAAATTCCATCTTAAAATAAAAAGTGACGGGCTGGAGAGATGGCTCAGCAGCTAAGAGCACTGGCTGCTCCTCTAGAGGACCTGGGTCAATTCCCAGCACCCACATGGCGGCTCACAACTGTAACTCGAGTTCCAGGGGGTTCATGGCACCAGACATGCACGTGGTGGGCATATGTGTGCATGCAGGCAGAATGCCCATACACATAAAGTAAGTTGACGGTTAAAAAATAAAAAGTGAAGAGTGCTGGGAATGTAGTTCATTGACACAGTCCCTGCTTAGAACCCCAATACGAGAGGTGAGGCTCAGTGATAGTGTTCCTGACTAGAATCCCCCAGTGAGGGGATGTGGTTCAAGCATTTCCCAATGAGGGTCTGGGGGCCTGGATCAGTGACAGAGTACCTGCCTAATGCCCTAGATTCCACCACAGTACATCAAAAACTAAAACCAGGCCGGTAGCTGTGGCACACACCTTCCACCCCAGCACCCAGAAGGCAGAAGCAGTTGGATCCTTGTGAGTTTAAGTCCATTCTTGATCTATATAGCAAGTTCCCGAACACCCTGGGCTACGTAATGAGACCCTGTTTATAACTTATTTTTCCCATGTCTATAATTTTTTAATGACTAAAAACGCAGTCCTTGTTCTTTCACTGGTGGGAACGCCTGATCCTATGTTGGTATCTGGCCCCCTTCCGCGCCCCAGTCCAATCGCCAAGGGCAGGGCTCACTCTGGTTCTACCTTACTCCGCATGCCTCGTCGTTCCTGCTGCCGTCAACCCAGCCCTGACTATAATGGTTCAGAACCGTTATAGATTTTGCTGTATGGCCCTCAGCTCCACACCCAGTCCGATTCAGTGCAATTTCCCGCTCAGTCCTACACCGAAACCTACCATGCTCCAGCTCCCTCGGTTGGCCCTGGCCTGACAGTCCGTCTTTCCTACCTCTCTGCCAGAGGCACAGACACTGCCGTCTTCCAGTCTCTTTGATCCCACAAGCTCATTTCACACTGCTAGAGATGGACCCGAGAGCCTTGCACACGCCTGGCGAGCTGTTCTCCATCCATCCACGCCCCCAGCCCCTCACTAACGGATTCTAGGCAGGAGCTCTACACTGAGCCACGATCCAAGCTCCTCTAAGCAGGGGTTCTATCACCGAGCCACACCCTTCACTGGGAGACTCTTTTTAGGCTTATTTATTTTATGCGAATGGGTGGTTTGCCTGCATGTATGTCCGTGCACCACGTGTGAGCCTTGGTGTTCAAGGAAGCTAGAAGCCGGCATCGGAACGCAAGGAACTGGAGTTACAGATGGTTGTGAGACATCGTGTGGGTGCTGGGAATTGAATCCAGGTCCACAGTCAGTCCTCTTAACGGCTGAATCATCTCTCCAGGTCCCTCACAGTGTGGTGGTAGGCAGCAGCTCTCCATCGAGTCACACAGACCCCAACCCTTCACTCGGCGATTCTACGCAGAAGATCTGCCGCCGAGCACGTCACACTTCCTCACTGAGGAATTCTGAGCCACAACCTCAGTCACAGCTAGGTTGTTTCGAGGCAGGGTCTCATACAGTGACCCAGACTGGCCTTTAACTCAAGGCAATCTCCCTGTCTCGGTCTCCTGAGTGCTGGGATTCGTATATGACGCACCACACCCAGCTTGCTTCTGTGATTTTTTTTTTTTTAGGGTTCCATCCTCCTGTCCTTTGCTGCACCTTCTGACTGGCCAGGTCTTCCAAGGCCCCGCCCTGGCCCTCCCGAAATCCCCGCCCCTCACCGGGCCAGTGGCAGCCGCCACCGGCGCGAGCCCCGGGTCATCGCGGTCGTCGCGGAAGTCTGGCAGCGTCTCGAGGCAAAAGACCACGATGGAGACCAGGATGACGAGCACCGAGACCACGGCGAGCACTCGCGCAGCCTGCGAGCTCTCGGGGAACTCAAAGAGCAGCCAGAGCTGGCGCGCAAAGGCGTGGCGCGGCAGCGGCCGTTCGGGAGGCACCGCGCAGCCTTCGTCCTCACGCAGCCGTGCCAGCGCCGCGGCGCCCAGCCCGTAGAAGGACACCTCCTCCAGGAAGACGTCGAGCGGCACGTGCGCCGGCCGTCTCAGCCGCCCGCCGGACTGGTAGTAGTAGAGCACCGCGTCGAAGCTGGGTCGGTGTCGGTCGAAGAAGTACTCGCGACGCGCGCCGTCGTAGAAGCGGCTGCGGCGCACCGGGTCCCCCAGCAGCGTATCCGGGAAGCGGCCGAGCGTGCGCGCACGGGTCTCGAAGCGCAGCCCGGCCACATTGAGCACCAGCCGCTCGCAGCAGCCGCAGGGCGGCGGGCACCGCGGCTCCATGGCGCGCACAGCCCGCACGACCGGCGGACGGACGTGTGGCCCCGACGCCCGGCCCCGGTGCCGCAGCCGCCCCAGCCGGGTGTCCGGTGTCCGCGCGTAAAAATAGCACGGAAAGTCCGGCCAGGGCGAGGGGGCGGGGGCGGCGTGACCCCGCGGTGCGCAGGGCGCCCTCTGCTGTTGCCACCTCTGCCCCTCCCACGGCCACCCGCGTTTCCGTGGGTTTCATGAGCCTTCCCTTATAGTCACATATTCTATTTGTTTGGCTTTTGGTTTCATGACACGGGATCTTATGTCGCCCCAAGTGGCCTAGGACTCTGTTTATCTGAAATGACCTTGAATGTATGACCCCCCTGCCTCCACCTCCCAAATGCTGGGATGACAGGTGTATGCCACCACGGCTATTTGTTTGTTTGTTATTTAGACAGTCTTCTCAGTTTGTAACTTAAACCGGCCGCGAACTCGTGGCCATCCTCCCGCCTGGTCCTTCGGATTGCTGGGGTCACAGTCACGAGCCATGGCGTCTATCTGCAGCGTGTTCCCTCTTCCAGTTTCCGTCTCCGTCCCTAGTCCGTCCTCCTGGGTTGCTGCCTTGGGGGGGGGTGCATCTGTCACTCATATCTATCCCCCTGCCTAGGAGCCTCTGCATCTCTCTGCCTTTTATTATTTTATTTTTTATTGACACTGAGTTTGGTATGTAGCTCAGGCTGGTCTCAGCCGTGCAATCCCCTTGCCTCTGCCTCCCAACAGCTGGAATGACAGATGTGTACCACGCCGGGATTCCTTGCTGCCTTTTTTCCCCCTAGCATTTCTCAATGAATATCTCCGTGTCTGGAGTCATGTGTTTATTTCCTTTGCATCTCTGACCATCGCTCCTGAGGAGCTCTGGGGCAGCAGTCCTGGTGCTTGCCGAATTCTCAGGGCCTCTTTCGTAACTCTGAACAGTCCGTGCTCCGGATTGCTCTTTAGCCACTGAGAGCACCAGAGTTTGAACTTAAATTTCTGTCTTTCTCCAGATTAGTAAAGAACGCCTGGACTGAAGCCAAGAATGGCGACAAAGGAGGCCTGGCTTGCCGGGAAGAGTCTGGAGTCGGCGGGTAGATGCGCAGGGTCATTGTCAGGATCCGAAGGGCAGACAGAGGATGGGCTTCCAGCCGCTGGTGTCTAATGACACAGGGTAAAAAATAGTCCCATCTGATGGGGTAGGGTGGTAAAGGGCTTTGATATCCGGGAAAGGGATCGCACGCCCTCTGCTGGCGGGACGGAGACCTGAACCAAAAGATGCAATTCCTAACTAAGCCCAGCTTTATGTCTCTCTGGGACTCATAGAGCTCCTCCTGCTGCTCTGCCCCCCTCCTCCCAGAAAGTCACACGCCTTCAATACTAGCACTCATGAGGCAGACCTCTGGGTTTGTGACCAGCCTTATCGACTCATAAAGTTCCACAGTGAGACCGTGTATTAAAAAATCTGGCCGGGCGGTGGTGGAGCATGCCTTTAATCTCAGCACTCGGGAGACAGAGGCGGGAGGATCTCTGAGTTCGAGACTAGCCTGGTCTACAAGAGCTAGTTCCAGGACAGTCTCAAAAAACAAACAAAAAAAAATCTGGTCCTGGTGGCACTGGGGAGAGAGACATAGGAGGATCCCTTGACTTGCTGGCCAACCAGTTTAGCTGAGTCTGTGGGCTCCAGTTTAGAGAGAGACAATGTCTCCAAATAATGTGGAGAGTGACAGAGGACATTCAGTGTCTATCTCTAGCTAAAGGAGAACCCTACCATTGAGCTATTTCTCCAGTCCTTGTTTTTAATTTTTATTTTGAGGCAAAGTCAGGCTAAGCTTCCTAGGCTGATTTTAAACTCACTCTGCTGCCCATGTGGGCTTTGACCTGGCGATCCTGTAGCCTCACTGAGGAGTGGCTGGGATAACAGCCACTCGGGGCTCAGCCGGCTCCTGACCATTGTGTCTTCAGCCCTCCATTGGCCACCATTCGAAGGTGCCGTGAGTTAAACCCGACCCTCGTGAATTCCCTCACATTCTCTACACTTTGGGGGGGTTGGGTGTCTGGGGAGCTAAAATGACAGTAGAACACTTCATCATCCATGTTATCTGGGCTGGACAGATGGCTCAGCAGTTAAGAGCACTGGCTGCTCTTCCAGAGGACCTGAGTTCATTTCCCAGCAACCACATGGCAGCTGACAAGTGTCTGTAAATCCATTCCAGGGGATCTGACACCCCCACACCAATGCACATAAAATAGTTAAATAATTTTTTTAAAAGTCCATGTTACTATCTGCCATTGTTGGGGCGTGCTCGTGTAGTGTGGGTGGGTTGATATTAGAATGAAGAACTGAGCCGGGCGGTGGTGGCGCACACCTTTAATCCCAGCACTCGGGAGGCAGAGGCAGGCAGATCTCTGTGAGTTCGAGGCTGGGCTGGACTGACAGCCTCCAAAACAATACAGAGAAACTCCGTCTCCTAAAACCAAAAAAAAAAAAAAAATGAAGAACTGTTTTTTTTTGTTTTTCTTTTTTTAGAAGTACCTTGACCTTGAAGAATCCTTGTAGAAAACAGTGATTGTTCTTTTTTTTTTGGTTTTTCGAGACAGGGTTTCTCTGTGGCTTTGGAGGTTGTCCTGGAACTCGCTTGGTAGTCCAGGCTGGTCTCAAACTCACAGAGATCCACCTGCCTCTGCCTCCCGCGTGCTGGGATTAAAGGCGTGCGCCACCAACGCCCGGCAACAGTGATTGTTTTGCTGATGGGTCATTGCAGCCATCCGAAGACTTTGGTCACAGGACATCTCAGGCACACCTCAGGCCATTGTGTATTATGTATTGCAGGCGATACACGATAAAGGGTTAGAGCGATGGGGGCTTGTGATGCTCTCCTTTAGTAAGACGTGCAGATTAGATTAGGGATATTTTGTGCAGCTTTCAGTAAATGGACCTCTGTACAGCAGCTGTTCAGGGTTCAGTCCATCAGAGGGGACCGGGCCTTCCTGCTGCTGCATAGGACTTAAAATTCCATCTTGGAGTGCCTCCTTCCTTCAACAGACCTCCGCACACAGGGCGCCCCCGCTGCCGGGACGCTTTTCTTTTCAAAGGTAAGAGTAGTCCCTGGCATCCCTAGACCCAAAGAGTCTGGAATGTTATGGTGGAAGTTCCACCCATCTCCCTCCAAACCCTGCTGAATCTCAGAAAGCCTGCCAAATGATGGCCCCTCCCCCAGAGATGCTCAGGACCACTCCCACAGGGTGTTTAAACTGCCCCCCAGAGAACAGACTCGTGGCTTTTCCAGCTTCCCTTTCCCACTCCTCTCTGTAGGGACTGGAATGCCGTCCGGTAGCCTTATATCCATTAAACGTAGGCTTTTTCTAATTCGGTTTGATTTGGAATGCTGCATTGGCTGAGAGGCTTATTGGGGTGTAGAAACTTTTCAACTGGGACCTTAGACTATTACTTCATATGGCAAATAGACTATGAGATGCTTAAGTGAAGGCTTTCGATGGGGAATATTGCTCCTGGCTATCTGGATAGTTACTGGTATTTATAAGGCAACAGCCGGAAGCTGGCTATGTATGTGGCTGGATGGTCAAGCCCTGGACTAGAATCCCCAGTGCTGCTGTTGTGATTATCTACAATTTTTTAAAGATTTATTATGCATACAGTGTTCTGGCATGCAGGCCAGAAGAGGGTATGAGATCTCATTACAGATGGTTGTGAGCCACCATGTGGTTGCTGGGAATTGAACTCAGGACCTCTGGAAGACTAGCCAGTGCTCTTAACCGCTGAGCCACCTCTCCAGACCATCTATAATGTTTTGTAATGTTAGCATTTACAAGGCCTTAGGTTCCATCTCCAGGACCCAAAATAAATAGTAAATAGGTAAAATTGAAAGCTGTTTTAAGAGCCAGGTGGAGTGCCTACCAACAGAGTGTCCGGGAGAACATAGGACTGAAGGTTTGAGTCATGTAGAGAGACCCTGAGGGGTGGCTCACTTGCTGCTCTCCCAGAGGTCTGGGGTTCTGTTCCCAGGACCTAGTATGGATGGTTCACGACCACCTGAGACTCCAGCGATGACAGAGCATTCACACCCTCTTCTGGCCTCTGCCAGCAGCCATATTGACATGTGTATATCCACCAATAGACACACATGCACACACCTGTCTGAGTGTCTGCATGTGTGACTTTAGGCCAGAAGAGGCCCTCAGCGTCCACAAGAGGGCCTTGAGCCGCTTGTGGTTCCTGAGCTGGGAATTGAACGCAAGACCTCTTAAAGAACAGCCAGTGCTCTTAACCACTGAGCCATCTCTCCAGCCCCACAAAAGTCCAGTTCTTCAAACACCCTTCATTCAGTTCTAGAAATTATGCCTTGCTTACATGAAAAACAAAACTGACATTAGTGCAATCCAGACGTCTAACTTTCCACACTACTGTCTGAGTCCGGGAGCCTGCCTGTCTCTTTTCCCTCTCCCCTCAGCACTAGCAACACAGACAAGCTCTGCTACATCCAGCTTTTTTGTTTGTTTAATTTAGAGCCTGCCCTGGAACTTGTGCTGTAGACCACGCTGGGCTCGAACTCACATAGAACCCGTCTCTGCCTCCCAAGTGCTGGGACTAATGGTGTGCACCACCACTGCCCGGTTTACACCTAGCTTTTAATGTGTTATTGGCGATCGGAACTCAGTTCCTAATAGTGTTTAGTGTAGATACTTGAGACACTGAACTATTGTATCTGTTGAAGCAGAGGCTGGGCATTGTCTAGGCTGACCTTAAGCTCAGACTGATGGCAAACTTTTAATCACCCTGTCTCCAACTTGCCAGTCCTAAGATTACAGGCATGCACCACACAGCCAGTTTACAGCATTGAAATTTGGAACCCATTCCAACCTAGCCCCTTCCCCCAACTTCTCCCTGTCAACATCAAGGGATCTGTTAATAGCCAGTGGCTTCAGATACAAAGATAGAAATTGTGCTGATTATAGAGGGAAGGTGAACTACATTTGAAAACATTTCAACTTATTTTGATATAGTTCTTTAAATTAAAAGTTATTTTTGCTATTGTCATGTGTGTGGGTGTTTTGCTTGCATGTATGTCTGTATATAACGTGTATGCCTGATACTTGTGGATGCCACTGGGATCCCTGGGACTGGATTTACAGACA